TCTCTCTCTCTCTCTCTCTCTCTCTCTCTCTCTCTCTCTCTCTCTCTCTCTCTCTCTCTCTCGGCGTGTATATTAGAGTGCTGTCGCTGTCATAGATGCAGCTTTGTTCGGGGGCTAGGTCCCACTTACACGAATTAAGCGATATTGACCGTAGATACAAAAGATCAACGGCCAGATTCTCGTGATCCGTGCAAGTGGGACCTTGGCCAGGGTGGAGGATTTGGCTCAAGGTTCTTTCTTCGTGCGGATTTTGTAGCCAGGTGCCATCTGAAGTAAGGATCAGGTGATCCTTGGCCCTGACCTGTCCCGAGATGATACGAACCTTCCACTTTTTTCCCTTTGTGTAAATCCTTATGCCAGAAAGTGGAAACTGGCATGGATGGCCTCGAACTGGACCACTGACTTGGCCAAGTATACACAAACAGAGGTCACAACTACTTTTCTCTTCTTTGGGAACATGACTAGACGCCCTGAACTGTTTAAAGTATCCAAGTTATATATACCTGTCTTCTCCTTTGTCTTCTAAGGCTGCATATGACTGAACTAACTCGGATGCGGTAATATCATGTTTGTGCTGACTGGTTTGGGACTGATTGTCGGGCTAACAGGCTTGCGAGCGTGTCATTGTACTGATACTGCTCAACTGCAATAGAGTGTATACGGAAGGGGGATCTTTTCATCTTCCCAGCATTCCGAGTTGTTTGGGCCAACAAGCTTAAACCGCCAGTACATGTTGAAAGTGTGGCCGCCCATGCGCAGGGAAGCACTGTCATGGACGGGCCTACCGTGCTGGCCTAAATTCATTCCAAATGAACCGCAGCGGCACTCCAGCAACGGCTGGTGCATTAATGGCCGCTCTTTTTGCAAGTACTGATGGTTTGATTGCTTGTCACTGTGCTGATACTGCTGGACTGCATTAGAGTTTATGACCACTATATGGACAGGTGTTCTTTTCTTGTTTCAGCACTCCAGAAGATGTGTGTAGGTGTTTCTCTTGCTCCACGTTATGTGTTTTCCTTCTCTGTATGCTATCTGACAAACTGAGGGACCGGTTTTCTGCTTGATCTGGACTTGAACCCTTGACTTGATTACTTATGCGGCCTGTGGAGAACCTGAAATGCAAAAAGCGAGTTACCTTGTCTTTGCAACCTGTTTAGAACCCGAAGTGCAAAAAGCGAGTTGTCGTGAACAATCCATTTGGACTTGAACTCTTGCATTGGAGCTTTCTGGTCGGTTCTGTTCCCCGTTCCATGCCTGGATTCTCTTTGAGTGGGCAAGGGCCCTAGGGGTTCCCCTTGTGTCTGCTTTGTTGGGTTGGGCCCATGTCTTTGGTAAGGGTCACAGCGGCTTTCTGTCCATTTTTTTTAATTTTTTTTTTAATAGTTTGCCATGTCTGCGGGGACTCCGGGGAGGTCGCTAACCAATTTTGTTGCCCTTGTCGATGCGCAGATACCGATCTGGAAATTTCAGGACTGCGTGCCGGTAAATCTTTGGGTCCCCTTGAAAAGAGAGGGGCCAATCGGCGTTCACCGGGTTCCAGGTGAGTTGAGGCTGCAGTTGACGTACAAGTCGTTTGTGGATGAAGAAGAGAAAAACAACGCAGCAGCCTTGGACCACCCGGCCCCGTACATCAAGGTTTACGGAAAAGAAGAAGACAAGATCGAAAGCGGCGAAGAATCAGTATGCAATGAAAGCGACTGCGACTTGCTGGAACAAGAGGAGAATGCTCAGAATGAGAGAGGGGAAAGACCATCTGTTCCTTTGAAGACAGCAGCCGTGCGCTCAGCAGACGGAGAGTACATGGGAAAAAAGGACAACGTTCAGGGTGAGGCACAGTACCTTGAGGATTCAGATGATGACGATGTTGTGCAGACGAGAGGGAAGGAGGGTGGTGATGAGCTAAGAGATGTATCTGCATCGGTGAAACCCCGTGTAAACAACCGTGTTGTGAACGGGAAGCGATCTCCTGGTATGCCTGTTGAACAGACGACAACGAATTGGGGAGTCGCAGAAGGCGCCGTGAACGGTAAACGAACTCCTGGTGTGCCCTTTGAACAGATGGCGACGAGCCGGGGGGAAGTTAAAGAACGCATTGTCAATGGGAAGCGACCGCCGGGCGTGCTCGTTGATCACATGACGATGGATCGGGGAGTTGTTCGAGAAGGCGTCGTGAATGGGAAGAGGGCAGTAGGTGTCGTTGGATTAAGAGAAAGAGGGAGCAGCTCGGTAAATGGGGGCGGCGATGGAGGGGTATCATCTGTGGGCACGAGTTACGATGGGGAAGATGCAAGGCCTTGGCAAGGGAGGCTGGACCAACTAGTAGGGCATGGTGGTAGTCATGTTAGGGATTCCGTTGGCGAGGAAGCAATGCCAAGCGGGTTGTCTGATACGGAGTACACTTTCAGGGAAAGAATCAGGGCAGTTAGCATGATGGATGCGGAGGAAGGAAGAGGAGACGGACATCAACAGGTTGGGTTTACGAAGAGAGGTGCTAGAAGCTCGACCACACAGAAGAAGGTCGCAACACTGCACGAGGAACTGAAGAGCGCAAACATGGTGCTCCGGAGCTGGCAAAGAGGCTGGCAGAGGGATCCAGAACCTGGAGGAGGGGCAGGGAAAATGATTGGGGAAGGCCCTACACCACCAGGGGACGACTCCAAGCTATCGACGGGGAACCAACATCAGCACAGCAGCCGGCCATCGCAGGCGGAGCAAAAGGGAAGCAATGCCGAAAAGGGTGAAATGGTCGCTGTCCTCATGGGCGCGCTGTTGGGCTCAGCGTCTGGTGAGTACATTGGGGCACGTTAGACGCCCTGGAACTTTGTATGTTTCTGTGAGTAGAGGGATGCCCGGGAACTTGGTTGTTTTGCTTGATGTTGCATTTAAAAAGAAATGACTACGGCGCAGTCAGGGTTTCAAGTTTTAAATGCAGTCTAGGCAAAAGGTCCAAAAATGTTGAATGTATACAAGCCAGGATTCGGATCCGGTAGGGTCACGCGGGGGTGTGTTACGTTCGGGGGAGTGACTGAAGTGCATTTAAGACTTGAAATCGTGACTGCAGCGTAGTTACCTCATTAAAAAAAAAAAAAAAAAAACCCAAGGAAATGACATGGGACTGCAGTTTTGGGAAGCTCCTCTGCCGAGGACTTCTGTGTCGTGCATAGCTTACCTATGTTCCAGCTTCCCTTCCCACCTAAGGGCCAATGCAGCCAAGAAATGTGGCCCGAAGATTCTTCGTGACTCGCCCGAAAAGTCCGGGCCCTGCCAGAGGTACAGGTTACTTAGGGCTGTGTATGCAAGATAGAGTCTCTTGGTTGTATGCCATCGTTATCTTGGTGTCAACCTCATTGCAAACTTTTGTTTTTATATGCTACAAGTTACAGGTGCGCCGTGGCGATGCCGCGGCAGGCGGGCCGCTGGCATGTGACACACTGAGAGAGAGAGAGGGAGAGAGTGACACACAGACACACAGACAGACACACACACACACACACACACACACACACACACAGAGAGAGAGAGAGAGAGAGAGAGAGAGAGAGAGAGAGAGAGAGAGAGAGAG